CTAACCATTTGCATGTTTACAAATGTATATTTAAGTACAAATTTGAGCATTTACTAATAATGCAATGCAATGATCATTCAGGCAGCTGTTATCTGTTAGTTAAATCTTTCTGAGAGCTTTTCTAAAGTGAAGACTAATTATGCTTTATTAATCATTTGTTAAGGTTGATCAAATTCCAGAGAAACAATAATGCATTACTAGTAAATCATTCTCTCATGGCTTATTAATCATTAATAAATGCTCAAATGGTTAGTTCATGAGTAATTAAGTAAGAAATACTTATGAGTAACTATTTATAGCTCAGGCGAATTAAGTGCAAGTTAAGTGCTAATTCAGGTAGTAATTAAGTAGTTACTAAGCGTGAATCATTATTAATTAAGTCTTTGTTCATGCTTTATTAAGGCTAAATTCCAGTACTCGCTTTTCCTTCTCTCGGTTAGAATGATTGGCACAGCCGTAAACTACACAACACATAGACATTTTCCAGACAAAGACGCGACAGTGTTTCACTAGCTTCCTCCAGTCGGTTCACTTCCTGCCCTCCATTTGATTTCCCGCGCTGACAAACGTAATGTCACGTGAAACCCAGCTATTGCGTTTTATATTAAATTGGGCCTAGTGTCGTGTATAAACAGTTCCTCTGTTATTGTACATCCAATGCTAGGAGACTATTTAATCGCTTAATCACTTAACAAGAGGCTTATACTGAAACTAACTCCAACTCCAGTTTAAGCCTCAACTCGTTCCATGACAGAAATAAATCTCTGACCAGAGCTAACCTTCTCGGAGCTGTGGGCGTAAGGTCTGTGGTGCCTGTCGCGGCGGCAATCCCCGAACCCGGTGGTGGACACCGGAAGTAAGGGATGCTGTCAAGCTGAAGAAGGAGTCCTATCGGGCCTTGCTGGCTCGGGGGACTCCTGAGGCAGCTGATGGGTACCGGCGGGCCAAGCGTGCTGCAGCTCGTGTGGTTGCGGAGGCAAAAACTCGGAGCTGGGAGGAGTTCGCAGAGGGCATGGAGGAGAACTATCGGACGCCCTCAAAGAGATTCTGGCAAACCGTCCGGCGCCTCAGGAGGGGGAAGCAGTTCTTCACCAACATTGTTTACAGTGCGGGGGGAGAGCTGTTGACCTCGACTGGGGACGTTGTCCGGCGGTGGAAGGAATACTTTGAGGATCTCTTCAATCCCACCGTCACGTCTTCCGAGGAGGAGGCCGAGGCTGGGGACTCGGAGGCGGACTTGTCCATCACCCTGGCTGAAGTCACTGAGGTGGTTGGAAAGCTCCTTGGTGGCAAGGCTCCGGGGTTGGATGAGATCCGTCCTGAGTATCTTAAGTCTCTGGATGTTTGTGGGCTGTCTTGGCGGACACGCCTCTTCAACATCGCGTGGCAGTCGGGGACAGTACCTCTGGACTGGCAAACCGGGGTGGTGGTCCCTCTGTATAAGAAGGGGGACCGGAGGGTGTGTTCCAATTACAGGGGAATCACACTCCTCAGCCTTCCCGGTAAGGTCTATGCCAGGGTACTGGAGAGGAGAATCCGGCCGATAGTCGAACTTCGGATCCAGGAAGAGCAGTGTGGTTTTCGTCCTGGCCGTGGAACACTGGACCAGCTCTACACTCTCCATCGGGTGCTCGAGGGTTCATGGGAGTTTGCCAAACCAGTCCACATGTGCTTTGTGGACTTGGAGAAGGCATTCGACCGTGTCCCTCGTGGTGTCCTGTGGGGGGTGCTCTGGAAGTATGGGGTCCGGGGCCCTTTGCTAAGGGCTGTCCGGTCCCTGTATGACCGGAGCAGGAGCTGTGTTCGCATTGCCGGCAGTAAGTCAGACCTGTTCCCGGTGCATGTTGGACTCTGCCAGGGCTGCCCTTTGTCACCGGTTCTGTTCATTGTATTTATTGACAGAATTTCTAGGCACAGTCAGGGGCCGTAGGGGGTCCGGTTTGGGGACCGCAGGATCTCATCTCTGTTGTTCGCAGATGATGTTGTCTTGTTGGCTTCATCGAACCAATACCTGCAATGTGCACTGGGGCAGTTTGCAGCTGAGTGTGAAGTGGCTGGGATGAAGATCAGCTCTTCCAAGTCCGAGGCCATGGTTCTCGACTGGAAAAAGGTGGCTTGCCCTCTCCGGGTGGGTGGGGAGTCTTTACCTCAAGTGGAGGAGTTCAAGTATCTCAGGGTCTTGTTCATGAGTGAGGGAAGGACGGAACGTGAGATTGACAAGCGGATCGGTGCAGCGTCTGCAGTGATGCGGTCGCTGTATTGGACCATTGTGGTGAAGAGGGAGCTGAGTCGAAAGGCGAAGCTCTCGATTTAACGGTCAGTCTACGTTCCTACTCTCACCTCTGGTCATGAGCTCTGGGTAATGACCGAAAGGACGAGATCGCGGATACAAGCACTCGAAATGAGTTTCCTCCGCAGGGTGGCTGGATCCTCCCTTAGAGATAGGGTGAGGAGCTCAGTCACACGGGAGGAGCTCGGAGTAGAGCCGTTTCTCCTCCACGTCGAGAGGAGCCAGTTGAGGTGGCTTGGGCATCTGTTCCAGATGCCTCCTGGGCGCCTCCCTCGGGAGGTGTTCCGGGCATGTCCCACTGGGAGGAGGCCCCGGGGAAGACCCAGGACACGTTGGAGGGTCTATGTCTCTCGGCTGGCCTGGGAACGCCTCGGGTTCCCCCGGAGGAGCTGGAGGACGTGTCTGGGGTGAAGGAAGTCTGGGGGTCCCTGCTTAGACTGCTGCCCCCACGACCCGCCCCCAGATCAGTGGAAGAAAATGGATCGATGGATGGATGGACTTCCAATTTTCCAAACAAATTGAAAATAAGAGGCCTTGATAGTTTTAGCTCAGCTCAAAGTATATGTACTATTTAGGCGTGTCATAAAAATGCTCCTGTTCTGGGTATCCCACCTGGTCGTATTGAAAACGGCCGACTGTAAGGCATTTTTAGCTCAGCTTGTGAGCTGTAAGATCAAACTGAGTTTATGCGATCACCCATTGTCCTGCATCCATCCCTCCGTCCGTCTGTCTGTCTGTCCGTTAACCATGGCTGGACAAATCTAGACCAATCTAGAGTCCATATGAATGTCTTTAGATTCCTTAGGGTAATAGCTCTTTCCAATTCTTGAATTATGTCACAGTGACCTACTTTGTGGATTTTATAGTCAGTGTTGGGGAGTAACAGATTACATATACCGGAGTTACGTAATCAGAGTACAAATTATGAGTAACTGTATTCAGTTACAGTTACTGTTTCAATGAGAGGTAATTGGATTACAGTTACTTTGTTGAAATAAATGGATTACACGGCGGTGTTTTCCTGTTTTCACATTTTGGGCTATATCCCCCGTTTCTTTTCTTTTTTTCTTTTTTTTTTCAGTAATTACACTCATTGTTGGAAACTAAACCAGGTCTAAGCCAAATCTAAACCAGGTCTAAACTATATCTAAACCAGGTGTAAATCAGGTCTAAAATAGGACTAAACCAGGACCAAAACAGGACTGAACCAGGACTAAACCAGGACTAATTCATGCTGTGTGGATGTGTCTCCTCTTCTATCAATAATATTTTTAATTTGGTTCAGTAAAGTCTGGGCTTTTTATTTCTTTTTTGCAGACAAAACATCTTATGTTACGATATCCTAGTCTTTGCTTCTCTACAGAAAATCAAGTAATCCAAAGTATTCAGATTACATTATTCACTTTAAGTAATTTATTGGATTACGTTACAAACTACATTTTGGTGTGTGTAATCTGTAATCTGTAGGGGAATACATTTTAAAAGTCACCTTCCCAACACTGTATATCCATGTAGAGAACATTTAAAACTATGGTGGGTCAACATTTCTCTATTTGTCCAATAAATATTAAAATCAAGGTTTTGTTTTAATCAAAAATGCATCATAATCTCCTATATTAAATAAACAGACAGAATATAAAGGACACTTGTAAATGTCAACTTGATATCACTTATGTAACCAAGTGCAATACTTCAGAATACTACAAGGTCAACAGGTATTTACTTCTGTTTAACTGGAGCATTTCTTATAAACAATACACATGAAAAAGGAGATCTTCACTTTAGCATTACAGCATACAGATACAGCGCGGTCAAAAATCCTCCGAGTATATTCTTATATTTATTTCTTAAGCATTTATTTATTTATTGGAAAACAGACAACACACATTAATGAATATTTAAAATGTAAATATGTAGAGATTATAGCCATCACATCTTCATTTCTTCGGCAGGTTGATGTGAAATGACGTACAGGACTGGGAAAAGTACAGCAACAATCACACAAAAGCACACAACTACAGCACACTCACTGTACATACAATTCACTCACAACTTTCAACTTCAACTTTATTATTGTTCCAGAGGGAAACTGTTGTGCAGACACACAGTAGACTTAGAATACAACTCAATAACACACTAAACCACAGCTTAAGTTTAGCTCAACAGTGCAGACAAACATTCCCTTAAAAATAGAACAAGAAATGTAACCGCATTTCACCACGACTGATCCAAGCAGTAAGATTCATTCTAGCATCATCCTAGGTATGACTTCAGAAACAAAGGAAGTCCGAGCTCTCTGAGTTCTGATCCGGGGCATTCTCAGATGTCGCCCAGAAGGAAAGAGGTTCAACTCCTCACAGAGTGGCAGCTCAGGGCTTGCCATTATTTGTTGGGCCTTGTGAATCACCCTTGTAGTATTTTAAAAAATGTCATTCTGCTAAACATGGTGACATATTTGACCACTGAACATCACTGTTTTAAAGCTTTAGAAACTGCTGCCAGTGTTGAAAGTTCTCATACATGAACTGCCCTGTGTTCCATGTTTGAACTGTTCCAGAAGCAAAAGAGTCTGTGCAAAAGCACTTTGAATTTCTTTTCACAAACTCTTTTACAGGAGGTGGAGCAAGATTATTAAAAATGTTGTTTTCATTTCACTAGTGGCACATCCATGTATCTGTGCCTGTTCACACATACTGTATCTGAGGAGGCTTCACTGGTCCAGCCACTGTCCTTTGTCCAGTTGGTGACGGACATACTGACAGAAGCACACAGTTCTGGGCAGGTGGCCACTAGAGACCGGTGTGTCGAAGGGGAAGTGTTTTTTAGCGAGACAACATGTGTAGCCCGAAGAGAAGAACAAGAGTGCTCGGTTAAACATGTCTTCAGAGCAGGCCCTCTCTGAAAAAGTCTCCTCAAACACCTGTCTGCATCCGTCCAGAGAAACATACACCAGGTAGATCTTGGAATTAGACCGACAACCCATCAAGACCTTCTCCTTTGACATGAGAACATTTGCTTGGCCTACAGCTTTCTGCATCTCCCTCACTATGTTCCGATCGTCATCCCGTCTCCAGAGACAGAGCTGAATGAAAATCCCCAAAGGGACAGTAAATATAAGTGTTAAGTTAGCGAGCAAAAGTCCAAGAGGGAGTGTGGGAAGTATTGTCTCATCTCCAGATAATAACAGAAGTGAAACTGCTTGTATTGCATACCAACACAGGATGAATAAGACCCCTGCCATGTAAACCAGGATACGTTTCCAGAGTGGTTTTATCCACACTTTGGTTTGTGAGACTTTGTTGATGATGGCGATGGCCTGCCTGTAGGTGTCTTCATTGTGCACGATGAGGCGGAGCTGGTCGGGGATGTCCATGTCACTAAACACGCCGGCGTCCCAAGACCTCAGGCTCTCCTCGTTGGCGGCGGTGAGTGACTGGAGCGCTTTACCGTTGTAGACTGAAGGAGGCTGGTACGGCACCACAGACGCCCCCCGGAGCTCCCTGTGAGGTACACACATATACTGAGATCATCACATCAGAAGGACCTGTTTAGTTCCTGTTACTGATGCATCCACCCGTCATTCATGGACAGCTACAGACGCATTTATTTTAATGTGCACAGATCAGGATCCTGAAATATCAGCACATTTTTACAGGCAGAGTGGATCAGAATATGGATTTGAACTAAGGTTGGGTGACACACACACACTAGTTTTTTGTACATATTCCTGTATTCATTGTGTGTTCTAGAATAACATTTATTTATACATTTCATTGATGATAACTGAATATTCCTCGTCTAAAAAGATCCCAAGAACTAACTGCACTATTTAAGCCCCGTGTGAAATGGCTGATGCTGGAGAGGGTGGCACTAAAGCTCCTGGATCATGCAGGAGTGAGGAGCCCCTGATACAGTGTGTGCTCTGGGCGTGTGCTCAGGTGAGGAGCTGTGTGTTGGCCTGTATGATCTGTGGCTGGAGCATGGTTTGTGTAGTTCCAGTGTGGAGCTATAAAACTGTACTGACAAAGTGTCTGCTGCGCACTTAATGCCATGCACTTTTTTTCTCTTCTCTCTTTTTTCATTTGGTGTTAAACACATGAGCATGTATCTAGTGCATCTTTTTTTTTTTTAAAAAACCTTGAAGTGTAGTTGCAAAGCCACTTTAATTCCATGTCGTTATTATGACGACTGGAGTATGTATGATGATATTAGAGCAGTCTTGCCTGTTGGGGGTGCAGAGCACGTGCAGCAGCTTGTTGATGAAGTCGGGGTGGTCGGCCTCGAGGTAGGTGAGGTGACACAGGTGCAGAGGGACACACACCTCTGGCTCCAGGAGAACAGGGATGATGGGCTTCCTCTCCAGGCAGTCTCTGAACAGAGACATGTTGGCTTCCAGAAGGCACCAGCGACTGCGCACGAACTCTGCACTCAGCACCAGCAGAACCTTCTGACTCTGCTGGATGCACTCGGACATGTTCTCCAGAATAGTGCGTCCTGGAATGAAGTCTCGCTCGTGGTAACACACCTGCAGCCCAGCAGCCTCCAGTCTGTCCACCAGTGCATGGGTCCATCTGAGAAGAAACAGAGGTGTCTGGGTCATTGTTCTTAAAGGCCTTATTGCATGCACTGGTACTGTTTTATACTGTTTTCTATTCGGACATTGAAATAGTCATTAGGCCCTTTAAATTACATACTTTGCCATTACAAAGAGATGGAGGTGTGTTGAGGGGATGCAGGGAGTGTGTATTTTGTACCTGTAGTCAGTGCTGCTGTAGCTTAAGAAGACATGGTAGTATTCCTCTTCTCTCAAAGTGGGCGGGACAAATGCAGAAATGAGATGTGATTGGACATCAGAGCTGTCAGTCAAATATACAGGCTCCATTATCTATCAGAAGCACAAACTCTATTCAAAAAGTTTATTGTCAAATTTCCATCTGAAAATAATGAAAAACTGTCATTATGTTCTCACTTTCAATCTTGTAAATTAAATAATAATAAAATAAAAGGAAATGTCCAAAGTTCGTCTTTAGGGAGACACAGATTCCTGCTTCCTGTTCACCTGGTGGTTAGAGAGGGGAGAGAGTTCAGCATCCTAACAGCCTGGAGGATGAAGCTGTTGGTGAGTCTGGTGTATATGTGGGTGAGGTGGGTGGTGTATATGTGTGTGAGGTGGGTGGTGTATATGTGGGTGAGGTGGGTGGTGTATATGTGTTTGAGGTGGGTGGTGTATATGTGGGTGAGGTGGGTGGTGTATATGTGTTTGAGGTGGGTGGTGTATATGTGTGTGAGGTGGGTGGTGTATATGTGTGTGAGGTGGGTGGTGTATATGTGTTTGAGGTGGGTGGTGTATATGTGTTTGAGGTGGGTGGTGTATATGTGTGTGAGGTGGGTGGTGTATATGTGTGTTTGAGGTGGTGGTGTATATGTGGGTGAGGTGGGTGGTGTATATGTGTGTGAGGTGGTGGTGGTGTATATGTGTTTGAGGTGGGTGGTGTACATGTGGGTGAGGTGGTGGTGTATATGTGTTTGAGGTGGTGGTGTATGAGGTGTTTGAGGTGGGTGGTGTGTATATGTGTGGTGAGGTGGGTGGTGGTGTTATGTGTGTGAGGTGGGTGGTGTATATGTGTGGGTGGTGGTGGGTGGGTGTGTATATGCGGGTGAGGTGGGTGGTGTATATGTGTGTGAGGTGGGTGGTGTATATGTGTGTGAGGTGGGTGGTGTATATGTGTGTGTGAGGTGGTGGTGTATATGGTGTGGTGATGTGGTGAGGTGGGTGGTGTATATGTGTGTGAGGTGGTGGTGTATATGTGTTTGAGGTGGGTGGTGTATATGTGTTGAGGTGGGTGGTGTATATGTGGGTGAGGTGGGTGGTGTATATGTGTGTGTGAGGTGGTGGTGTAATGTGTGGGTGGGTGGTGTATGTGTGAGGTGTGGTGGTGTATATGTGTGTGAGGTGGGTGGTGTATATGTGTTTGAGGTGGTGGTGTATATGTGGGTGAGGTGGGTGGTGTATATGTGTTTGAGGTGGGTGGTGTATATGTGTTTGAGGTGGGTGGTGTATATGTGGGTGAGGTGGGTGGGTGTGTGAGGTGGGGTGTATATGTGTGAGGTGGTGTGAGGTGTGGTGTGTGTATATGTGTGTGAGGTGGGTGGTGTATATGTGTGTGAGGTGGGTGGTGTGTATGGGTGTGAGGTGGGTGGTGTATATGTGTGTGAGGTGGGTGGTGTATATGTGGGTGAGGTGGGTGGTGTATATGTCTTGCAGGGAGGGGAGTGGTGCACCTGTGATCTTCCTGGTTGTTTTCACTATGTGCATAAATTGATTCATAAGTGACTTTTAAAGTAGAGACACTTTCAATTGTGTTTTTGCAAAAACAAAGTCCAGATGAGCAGCTCTACTCTGACCTCTTCACATTACACCACCACATACACTGGACTTGTTTTATTTAGTTCAGTGTGAATCACAGGTCTGTACACTTCCTGTTCAAAATGCAGAAGTGATTATCTGCTGCTGGCACGCACTCATCAGTGCATTTGCTTTTCCTTGTTTTGTTTGAACCATGAACATGAACCAAACATGTGTGAAAGAGTCTGAACCTCTGGACATAGGCCATAGGTGTAAGGAGAAGTCCCTGAAGTATACATGTGGGTGCAGTACATTACTAATGTAAAATATAAGCACATTTGAACTCTTTCTAGAATGTTTTCTTCTTCATTGCTCCTGACGCTCCAGTGGCACTGAAGCATGTGAAGAACGCAGATGCTAATTTCCCTCAAAGTTCAATAAAGTTCATACCTTAACCACAATCAGAGATGTTTTAATGAGCACACAACCAGTGGGCTCCATGTGCAGTGTCACAGAGCGTTACAGAACAAAAAGGCCAGTCCATAAAGATACAAGGCAACACCAGATCGATCAATACACGTTACATCAGAGACAGACTTAGAGAATGAATGGCTCTGAAATCTATAGCTGTTTTTCAATCTGACTGACTCGGGTGTAATGGTTTATTTTTCTCTTCAAAAGTTTGAAGTATGTCATATTTAAACAGACGCCCCCCCTCAGTCCCAGTAAATCAGACACAAATCCTACCTGACTCAAACTGTGGGAAATATTCTGTGTTGATCATGTTGATTCACCCAATATTTTGTACCTTGGAATGACAACAGGGAGAAAAACATGTTTGTCTATCTAGGGTTCTATAAAACACATGTTTTTCTGTAATTTGAGATGCTACGAAGCAGAAAACTGATGTATGTGGACCCTGTGGCATGTACCCACCCATGATAAAGTGCACCAGGTCAGCATTATTGTTCATTTTCTTGCTGTATATGCTAAATGAACAAGTTAATGTTTTGTCAGATGTGTGGTATAAAGCTAACCCTCATTGTGAGTTGGGCAGAGGCGTCGTTCCGGGGTGACAGTTGTACTTGGTAATCAACTTGAATTCTCTCTGAATGGAAAATGCTGAAATAAAGTGGCCTGTTCTCGGATCCTCCATCTTTTGTGCTTCTTTCTAGGACACGCACTGAACTCTTCCGAAAAAACCCACAAAATGGTGACCCCGATGGTGATTTGACGGAGCAATTTCTGCAAACGATAACTCCCACAAAATCCTGGAAGTAAAGACACGAAGAACGCGTTCCCAAAAGAAGGTATGACAGCGACCTTTCAGAATTCCTGTCAGATTGGTTAAATGTAAAAAAAAAAAAAACTAGAAATTGTGATTTACTTCTTGGGACTTTTGTGAGATTAATTTGAGTAAACTAATCCAAAAAATAATTAAAGCATGTTAGGCTTCATGGAAACAAAAAAAGCCCAAATCTGTGTTAAAGCAAAATAAGCCAGAGTTTTTTAATTGAGCATGTTTTATAAACTTTCACGAGGAAAAAAGTTGGTGAATCAAAAACAAAATTAATAGTATGTTTAGGCTTTAATCAGATAAAGCATAATTAACAAAGTTATTAATCAAAAAAGGTTCCGTGTTTAAGCAAGGCCTTCACAAGAGACAGAAAAGGCTGTTTTATAAGAAAATATAAAGTCTGTGGTTAAACTTTTACGCAGAAAGAAAAACAAAACTTTTAATGAAGTTTATAATAAAAATAATAAAACAAGTTGCGCACAAAAAATTTTAAGAAAAGTAAAAAGAAAAAGAAAAGAAAAAACTAACCTAGAACACAAACAAAAAAGAGAAACCAAAGAGGAGCACTGATTAAAGAAGCAGTGTTGTAAAAAAACAGATTAAAAATGAGGCAAAAACTATGTTTATTAATGTTAGCGCTTGCCCAAGTGTTAATGGCAAAAAACAGACCAGTACAACTAAAGTATTTTGAGTATAATAACGAGATCACATGTCATTGTAAGATTGATTACAACAAATAGGGGTGTTATTTATTCCATGCGAAGCAGAAAATATCGGCTTAGTAAACGTAACAAGAGAAAAACAAGAAATCGCCGTGTATTCAACCCAAAACAAAACCTATTCAAACGTATGTCAGTCCCTAAATGTTACAGACAATTTAATGAATGATACAGACGTCACAATCCAATGCACATGGAAGACAAAACCGATCAGATCAAATATGGGATGTGTGTGTGTGTCTTTTCCCCATGGCTTTACAGAGTTGGTTACTCGAAAACCATGTGGAAATAAAACAACATTGGGCACTTTTAATACTACGGACAGAGAAAGTCCCCCGACAGAGATAAGCACTGTAAATACGCCAGAGACAATCAGAGAAGTAAGAGCATTCAGAATAAATAGCATGACAACTCCCATGAAATTAGGCACAGAGGAAACAAATATAAAATATCAAACCAAAGAAGAAATATCCACAGTACCTGCAGCTGTAGCTGTCGATCCGGCAAAGTTATCTACAATAACCTTTGGACCTGTAACTGCCCCACCTGCGCGAACCATATCAAATACCACGTCTACGCCTAATAAGTCAGAGGAAATCATTAGCGAATTAACTAATACCACAAATAGATTTGGTCTGTTTGACATTCAATCAATAAAAAACTAAATTAACAGTCTCATGGAAAAAGTCACTTTTTTTGGAGCAGTTTCCAAACCAATGTTCAAACAAGATACAAGCCTAGAGAATATGACTAAGAAATTAAAACATGATATGGTGAAAGAAATAACTGAGAATGCTGTAAATATAACGCAGAACCTCTGTGCTTCAAACTCATCTAATATTGCTAAAATACTAAAAGATCTAAAAGGAGAATATGATATATTAAAAACAATGTTGAAAGGAAGTTTTGGTTACGCTCTAACTGCATTTATTTCCGTCCTGTTGACCTTAATTAGTGTATTAATCATTGCTTTGCTATTGTGCTTGTGTTTACCATGGATTGTTAAAAAAGGGCAATGAAATTTTATTAAAATCATGCAATCACATTTTCCTGATTTCACATCTGTATCTAGCTGGGATGATGGGAAAACAGGACTGTTCAGAAGTTTAATCGGGCCACATTTGAAGCATAAAAGGATTATTTAATTAAATAGACATTTGAGAAAACATTAGACCAGATATATTAAATTTGACTTGCGATATAATCATGTTTGACCTGTGAAGATGATATTAATGTATCAGGAGCGGTCTATAGACTGCGGGTAGAACAGAGAGACGGATATTCACTGTATTTAAAGTAGTGGTGGCATTGTATTCTGGGGTACATTGTTGTTATGGTTGTTATGGCTGCCCGCTGGTTGGCATGATGGTAAATGATTGAATTGTTGTTCATTGGCGTTTGCTCGGCTTTTGTCAGTGTCTGATGCCCCATGAGGTTGTTTTGCTTGTTGGCTGGGCATTTTGCGTGCGCTCACCTGTGGGGGCGTTACTTGCCGCTGCTTTTCGATGCGATACTGAC